TTTTTTATGTATTAAAATTATATTCGAGGCTCAAATCAAATTTTAATCAACTCATATTAAATTTTAATCAACCCAAATTTTGATACATAAAAAAAATATAAATTTTAATTGACTCAAATTATAATATGTAAAAAAAGTAAGTTTTAATCAACTTGAATTGAATTTTAATAAATAAAAAAAAAATTTATTCGACTCGAAACGAATTTTAATCAGGGCTAATAGCTCGAGTAGAGCTCAAATCGGCTTGAATTTTAATATGTGAAAAGAGACTTTTAATAGGCTCGAATTTTAATACGTAAAAAAAATAAAATTTAATCAACTTGAATTGAATTTTAATTGACTCAAATTTTAATATGTAGAAAAATAAATTTTAATCAGCTCAAATTTTAATCGAATTTTATGTAGAAAGATTGTTTGGGGTTTATGTAAGGACAATTTTGGTATTTTAGATAATTTATTTTTGTTATAAATGATGGTTTAATGACAGGGGATGTCAGTGATATTTAAATATAAACTAGAAGGGGTAAGCTGGATAATTTTTCACAAGGGCTCAGGTTAATTAGACTTAATAGTTTGCAGTCACAAAGCAAGTTTTTTCAGAAAGTAAGGAAAGCAGTCAAAAAAACAAGCATTTTATTAAATGAATCGGAATCTAGCAAGCAAGCCTTATTTTATTAGTCAATTTTCTTTTTTTTTATCATTCCTTCGTAGATGTTTTTGATAATAAAAGGGGTGTCTTTTAAGATATGGTAAATTAGAAGGGGTGTGGCTGAAATTTTCTCTTAAACTTATATTTTGATTTGTTTGTGATTTAATTTTTTTTTCCGTGATACAAATATGCAACCACTAGCATTTATTATTTTCAATCCTTAGCCTATACATGTGGTGGCTTACAATTTGCTTTGGAACAATTAAAAATAAAATTATAATGATAAATATTATTAACTATGTGTATATGGAATTCGATATAATAGTGAAAGTGATTTATATAAGAGTTACAAAGCAAACCACGGCCTAAAACAGTATACCAACTAATTCTATTTCCAGCGCAACACTTATCTAAAAAAGAATTGTACCACATATCCATACCGTACTATTACATACTAAATTGACTCACGGTTTAGGTAATATTCATTAAGATGCTAAGATCCTACATCAGAAGTGTAGTTTGTTCACGTGGTGTGAAATAGTATCAAACATAATCAACTTAAAGTAATAAATGAATCCTATTGTATGTATGATTAGAAAGCACCTTTTTGCACTTACATATAGTTATAGGCATGTGCTCCAATAGATGGATCGACTGTTGCATTAATTTTTATATCCATCTGAAACCGAAACTAAGACAAATTTGATGATGATTATTGTCTGGTCACTGGTGACCAGAGCAATCGGAGTTATCTTATATAATTTTTTTGTGGTTGTGTCTATAGTTAATTGCCTTAGACTATGCATTTGAATTTTCACAGAATCTTTTCACTTTTGGATGGGAAGGCATAGACTGAATGCCTACTTTGCAGCTTCCTTCTATATTATTCATTGTTTAAGTCTCCCCTGATAAAGGAACCTTGTTGCTGAATAGTTCAGAAATCCTTAATGAAGCATAAAACAGTAAACTAGCCCTCTGGGTAGCCAAGGGATCCTGTCTTTGTTGTAAGGAGGGAGATTTAGATTGCCCAGGAAATCATCTGCAGCAGCTGTTAAAGAGGTGACATGAGGTCAAATAGAAAGATGATTCTTTAAAACAATCTCAATGGCATCAAGTAATTTATTGTTCATTTTCTTTGGTAATTTTGACAACTTACAGCATTGTCTCGACCAAAATGAAGTTTAAACTTGCCAAGACAACTTTTAATAACTATTAGCCATCTGATTGCAATTTTTACCTAAAGTGATTTGAAATCTTGGCAAATATTTGTCAATCAACCATTGCTTATGTTGTAGCAAGTTACAAGTTACAATTGCGACCTGTCTTTACTCATGCTTCCGTCTAGTAGTTAGTTCTGACTTCATTGTGATTATGGACTGTGGAAACTTCATATGGGTTTTTAATTATTGTTATATTTGTATGTTATCATTATTCATTCGTTGGTTTGCAGGTTTATTGACAATGCATATAGAGAAGGTGTGCCTGTGGTTGTATTGACAGCCTACGGCAAAAGTGCGGACAAAATAGCAAGGTTGTTTCATATTACTGAATTTGTAAGTGTTTGGAATTGCAAATTAAGTACTTCAATATCACACTCGAACTCTCAAACCATAAGGAATCGATGAACCAATGCACTTTACAACTTTGACCAAATAGAGTTGTAGAACCTGTAACAATTAAACATATCTATAGAGGTTCTTTGAGAATCAATAGGTAATGAACCATAGTGAGAAAAACTTGGTGTGGTGTAAATGATGATGCCCAAAACATGGTAAAAGACAAAAAGAGCATATCATAAAACATGGTAAAAGACTGAAAACGATGTGGGTCTTAAAAATTAATAGCTTGAAAATAAAGAAGTTTAGAAAATAGTTGGAGTTAAGCATATCAAAATCTTTATTTTAAGCTAGATACAAAGGATGGAGAGAAAAGTAGATATAGATTGGTTAATTTATGAGAAAAAAGTAGAGATTGTAACCATATTATTTGTATTTAGAGCGGAGATTCAAGTTTCTTGGTAAAAATGAGGAAATTAAGGGAGGTGAAAGAATTACTCTGGAAAGTTTTTGGAGGAATATCATATAGGGAGCTTAGGTATTTAGAAGTATAATAGCCATATGGAGATTATAGAAATTTTTTAAGTAAAGAATGTTTTGGAGAAAATGAATATTGGAAAAGCCTGAAGACCTGATGTTATACTAATTGAGAATTGGAAGTTACTGGAGGATGTTTTTATAGCTTGGTGAGCTAAATTATTTAGTAAATTAGATTAAGAAAATGTTTGATGAATGGAGGAAGAGCATTTTTAGTACATATTTGACAATAAAGATGACATACAAAGTTGCACAAATTATAATGGTATTAAATGAATGTCTTATAATGAAAATTTGTGCGAGTGATTGGGCTATGACTGAGTCCTGAAAGAATAGTATTGAGATTCAATTTGGATACCCGGGAGACTTATGATGGAAGCTAGAGAAAGTATAAGACAAAATCTCTCGTGATAATAGAATGTTTTTGAAAGAAAAAATCTTGCAGATATGTATTGATATGATTAATGATATCTATGAGAGTGCAACTCTAATGAGAATAACTGCTGAGGAGAGCCGTGAATCCTAGTCATCTTAGGTTTAAATAAGGGTTTTGTTTTAAGTCCTCTCTTTTTTGTCTTGGTTAGGGATGAATTGACTATACACATTCAGAATGAGGCTTTATAGTATATGTTGTTGATTACGTAAAGTATGAATTAACAGTGCACAAAAGTTTGGAGAGCAGCTTTAAAAGCAAAGGATTCTTGATAAATAGAATCAAAACTGATATATTGAATGCTGGTTTAATGAAATAGAGTCCAACTGAGGGTAGTAAAGATCGATTATCAAGAGATACCAAATAAGAAACACTTACTGATATTTGGGGTGAATTGTTTTTAGAGAGGGTTTGATTGGAAAATATGGTACTTATATAATCAAATCATGATGGACTAAATGTAGAAATGCACAGGCAAGTTGTACTAGAAAACCACCAGATATCTTTTACAATCCTGAATGATGGGCGATTAAGAAATAACAAACTCAAAAAGTGAGTACAACGGAAATGAATATGTTAAGATAGATATATGGTAAAACTAGAAAGGATTGGGTTATGAATCACTAAATGAGTTTATTTATGAAAAAATAGAAGTAATATTAATAGGAGATAATGTAAGAGAGTACCGGCTTAAGTGACTTGGACCTGTTTAAGAACACTTATTACTGCCCCGGTGAGAAAGAGTGTTGTGATATCTATTGATTGTATTGCCGATGGTAGAGAGACACCAAAATGAGCTTCAAAAAAGAAAGTAGATGACCCTGAGTATAATGGCGGAATATGATTCATGTAGCAGACCTCAAATAGTTGGAAAAAGACTTTGTTGAGTTAGCTTGAGTTGGGTGAACTCCAATAGCACAAGAAGCAAATTAATCGCAACATGCTAGAAATAAGATGATGAAATAGAATACATTCAGAACTAGAGATCATGATGAACAATAAAGAAATCTTTTGTGAGCCATTGAGCAATAAGGTGAAATTCAAAATTGGAATAAATTAAAAGAAATACCAAGGCCTGGGAGTACTAAAATATAAGTCGACCAGTGTCCACATGACCAAATTTTTAACCAATTTGCCAAATACTTTAGTAGTGAGGGATACTTGGAAGCATTCTTGTGGCATCTTATTGCGAGTATATAGGTCTGAGTAGTGCTATAGTGGTAGCATTTGTTGAGGTGCTATAGTTCTTTACTTCAAAAACATCACCACTCAGTAGCCGAAGGCGCATACCTGTACATACACTGCATGTCTACCATTAAGAAATTTTATGAAGTGGCTATTTGTAGTGGGGCTTACATGCATAGAGCCAATGTGCACGTCTTGTTTAAATCTTTATGAGTTCGCCCTTCCTCTGAATTTTAGCGAATATCTATTGCAGCTAGAGTTTTGGTGATACTTTCTTTAACCTTCAGCCGTGTGTATTATTTGCTGATTTCTTTGGCAGTCAGTAACTTGCTAGGCCTTATACTTGTCTTTTGAAAGACCTTGGTGTGACCAATAAATTGTTTCTAAAGGATCCTTGTGTGGGCTAGTAGATCTTTATCTTGACTTGATCTGGCGGTCGAGCGGTAGGTCTTTTTTGTTAAGATTGTATTTATACTTATGTTTATTTCTCATTAGGTCTATTCTAGTCTTTCTCTTGTAGTAGGGTTTTATATATAGTGTCTCTAGTATGTAGTTTTATGTTATGATGGAATATTAGAGTAGTTGACTTCTTTTCTCTTTCTCTTCTTCTATGTCTTTTCTTGATCAAAGCTTTCATGGTATCAGAGCTAGGTTCTGGAAATTAAGTTAACATTGATTGGTTGTATCTCAATATTGCGAAGCCAAGGAAACAACACAATCGAAAACAACCCAAGAAAACAAATTTGCCCATGAAAAGTACCCATCACAGTGCCAAATTTTGTGGGTCCGGCATAATTGTTTTCATCTCTCTTTGTTGGATTTTTCTGTTAACTTGGAAACATTAACATTTTGTATATGCTTTGAACATTTGAGGAAACAATATGGAAACAAAGAAAAAATTTGAAAATTCAATTGCAAAACATTCCGAAACATTGATCGAAACATACCGAAAATGTCGAAACTTTCTGAAGCACGTTGAAATAGCAGAATTTCGATATTGAGTGACTGATTCTTTTCAGATTCCATGGAAACAGAAATGTTTTTGGATGTTTCGGCCCTTTTGAAATGAAATTTAGTTCTTTGCTCCTCAGAAACTCTTTAAAAATTGATGGGAAAAGATTGACTGCATCTATTTATAGATCCCAAAGCTTCTAAAGGAAGCCTCTTGAATACCTTGTAGAACTAACCCCCAAAGAACCTACATAATTTTACAAAACACCTAAAAACACTCGACTAGAAAATCCTCAATGAGGGCAGCTAGCGTCAGAAACTTTTACAGAGGGTTACGTATATCATGAATTGATGATGGATTCTCCATCCGCACCAGATGGCGTCTTAGTTTAAATTTTCAATTATTCTCAAACTCAACATGTCAAATTTAGAAATGTCAAAACAATAATTCTTCCACAATCCTAGACTATGCCATAGAACCAACCATATCCCTTGTCCTTCCTTAAGACTTCTGCTTTTCTATAGTTTTGACAAAGGCAACTGTGGAGAGTTGGTACTAAAAATTTGAGGTGTCAATGCATTCACTACCACTGCTCAACTTGCACTTTTCCAAACAATCATCCATTTTGGGATGGATTAATTTACAAGGGGATACACAAGTCCAATGGATTTAAAAAGACTTGCAGATGGTGAGAATTAAAGTGCGGTTTTAAAGGACGCGAGAATGCACACGTTAACTGGCTCATGAGGTGAATTTATTTTTTTGGTTAGTCATGCATCCATTTTTTTCACGAAGTATGAATGTGAAATTTGGTGGTCCTAATGGTGAGGATATATTCAGGAACTTATATCTGCTTCTGTTTTTCTTTTTGTGTGTGTTCCTTTTGTTCATTCAGTTTTTCGTTTGTTGTGGTACTTCATGTTGGGAAGTTAAAATTATCCCATAACGAATGTCGTTTAAACTTTTGAACCGATGAGGGACAAGAAGATTATAATTGGATCCTCCAATATGGATTAAAAATTTGGAACATTAACCTGTAAAAAAGAGTTCTTAACCCCCTGATTGCAACAATCAATTTTTTTTGGAACTCATGTAGTACTCCTTGATTTGTCTGGACTCTGAAGGATTGTTAACCTAACGATTCTTATGCTCGGTCTACATTGGGACTTCTATGTGCCGTGACAATATGTGCATCTTTAGTTTCAGTGAAGCAAGTGCTTCTGGGATAGGTCTGGTTATTCTAGTCTGTTAAGCTTGCACAGAATGTGGATTATTCACATTGTCTTAAGCTTGCCTTGCAAAAAATAAACTAGGTAATGTTGTAATCAATGGTATTGGAAAATAGGATTCTCTTCTCATGACTGCATGTTTATACTTAAGTGAGTCGTTTCTACAGTGAAGCATTTGTATATCTCATTTTGTCTTCAAGGTGTCTTAAACTAGTGCACATGGTATGTCGATAGGATAACCATGCTAAAATTTCATTATCTTGTCAAATACTGTTAGGTCCATCATCGAAAAGCTTGGTGATGATAGAATGTCAAAGATAAAGATTGTAGGGCATGAGGACGTGGAACGGAGTTTTTATGGCCAACTTGTTCTCGGTAAGGGGGTATCTTCCAGTTTGGATGAGGAATTAGCTAAGGAAGCAAGCAAAGCAGGTAGAATTCAAGTCCAGAGTTGGTTTGCATGCATAGATTCAATCATTACACTTCAGTCTGTAATCTCTAATTTTAAGGGTTCTATTTGAGCCAGCTTCTGCTGAAAAACAAAGAATTGCAGAGGAGGTTGCAGCCATACTCAAGCTGAGTGTTGAGATTGATACTAGCTCGAGTGAAAGGTTAGTCCAAATTTTTTTTTTATCACTTATGTGAATATTCTTGACGTTTGCATGTTCTTATATTTGGTTTATGGTGGTTTAGGTTTTTGAGGAGAGAAAGAGAGAGATCATAGAGAATTGCGTGAGAGGAGAAAAAAATCTTTTAACCCTTTATCTTAGTCTCAATTCTTATGTATATTGTAACACCAAGACACAATTCCATTCAAATCAGAGTGCTAAGAGACCTCAATAATTGATACATGTCTCAAAATTACAAGTACCATTGTCATCAAGTTTAAAAAATTACATCAATAACAAAAAACCATTTGTTAACCATCACTTAATTTCGATCCTCTATCGATTTCATCACAAATGAGCTTGAGAGGCCCAGTAAGTAAATTAAATCATAACACAAGGAATAAGAGGATCAAATGATAACCGAACAAATGTTAATCACATGTGGAAACACAGTAGTTGTCGCATCAACCGAATATTCTTCACATTGTGACAAGAGATTTGATTGGACTTTTACTGAGCTAAATGTCGGAGTTTTCTTTTAAACATCTACACGGTAACAATATTCTGATGTGTCCTTCCACTCGAGAGTCTAATGTACATGTTGAGTTCGGACATTTATTGCTTACCAAACAACTGATGAACAAGTAAGAATTGCCTTAACAAAAATGGATGGAATTGGACCTAAAAAAGTCATTTAGGTTCGTTATCGATTAGGTATCAGTGGGAACATAAAGATAAAAGAATTAATGAAGTATCAAATCGACCAAATTGAATAAATGATAGGTCAAGATCATATTGTTCATGGGGTATTGAAGAGGGAAGAATGAGCAGACATTGAACATGAGAAATTGCTCAAACAGTATGAGTTGATCAATGTCAAGGTTTTCCAAGGACGCACAATGTCTGTGGCTCAATCGACAAAAGGTGTTGGCGGATTTTTGATAGCTATGAATTTTGGTAGGCTAGTCAACAACGAACATTCAAACAAAGACTAAAATATTGAATTCAAATTCGATGAATTGGTCGTAATTCTAAATTTAAGCAAAGACTCAAATATCGACATGAATTTGGGGGCAAAACCTTTCCAACTTGAAAAGAATGATGTAGAAAAAGTGACGAAAATTTTGGTGTTTTATTTGAATGTGGTCAATCTTGTTCAGTTTGAAAATTCTATAAGATTTTGTTTTATTTCCTAATTTAATTAAGAAAATATTTTATTTTTATTTTTTGATTTAATTAGAATTTTATTTTATTTGGTTTCCTAATTTATTTAGGATTCTAGTTTCCTGGATGCTATAGGGTTTCTAATACTATTTAAAGTTTTGTAATCCTTATGACAAAACAGTTTTGGATGAATTAATAATATTGAGAGACTTTTCTCTTTTCTTCCCAATTATTCTAGTATTCTTTAGAAACCAAAAGATTTAATGAAGCGTTTAGGGCTGGACCGGCTGGTATTCTTCTGAATCAACAGGGATAGAGTAGGAATCTAAACCAGTATCTGTACGCAAGTCAATGATTTGGTCTCTTTATTCCCTTTCATTCATTATACCCTTATTTTGACACGCTTCCGTGCATCAATACTTGATCTAATCTAGTAGGAAAAGAAACTTGACTATGTTTTGCACGTTCATTACTTTACAATGAAACTAAGACACGTTCTACTTGGAAAACAAAGAGAGAAACAATTTTTGCAATAAAGTCAAGGAGGATGGCCAGGGGGCTATTGCCCTTGAATGAGCTGATCTAGATGAACCAGTGGCACAACTAATAGAATGGAAGGATTGTCTGTTCTTAGGGAGTCCAAATGCAGGGAAATCAAAGAGGTAAATATCTCTTCTTACTAACATTGCGCATCGTGTCTTTAATGTCCATGTCCTAAAAGACATAGGAAGTAGGGACGAAAGTCATGCAAAAATTCAATGATTTGGTTCTGCCACCAACAGATAAAAAGATTAGTGGAAAACTTGGGAACTTGTAGGACAAATGACAGAAATATTGATGGTGAAATTGAAATAGAACGTTTCCCAAAAATAGATGATAAAAAGCCATTCGCTATCCAAACTTTATCTCTACGTGAACAAGTAGTGAACAAATTCGACATGAATGTCTTGTGATTAGACTCCTCTAAATCAATGATTCAAAAGGGCTTGCTAGATAAAGAAAAATCAGTATATGCCCTAGCTAGGATACCTTAATGAACAAATATGGAAGCAACAGTGGCAGTCAAGGTTGCTCAAATTGGTTCACGAGCTATTAAAGGGTCTCAATTTGCTCCCTGGAAAGAGCTGGAGTGTTTGGAAGAAGTAAGATGGGATCCAATAGCAGTAAGATGAATGCGGGACCTAGTTGCTCTTTACATGCGACCCTTTTTGCCTCAGGTAGCCCAACCCATAGTTTCCAGTAACTCTCTCTTTAGACACTGGACCTGCCAAAATATCCGTGGATAAGCTTATCATTGTTATCAAAAGTTGCAGCAAGAATCCAATCACTATCACGAGACACCAACAGAGACTTTTACCTTTCCAAGAGGTAGAAGCGAGGGTAGATCTCTCATGAGCCAATGATACTGAAGCATAACCTTTCTTTTGCTACCCTTACCTTGAAACTAGGGAAATACCTGATTGACAGAAGGTAAAGGAGCACTTTCTAGATTTTTAATTTGAGTCAGATCACATACCATATTCAGACCAACTCAAAATGCGCTCTAGTTTCACCATCCTCTTAAATTTATGGGCATCTATAGGACAATCAAGTTGCAACATCTGATACTGATCAGGCTCCTTGGTCACTGCAAAATATCACAATAACTATCCCATGGACATAGCTCTTTGTTTTGTTTTCCATGAATTTGCACTTCAGGTCACAAATCTGATTAGGATTGCCCATCCTATAATTCTTCCATGCACCAACATCCCATGTTTCTTTGCTGACCTCAAAAACAACTATGCATTACTGATCTTTGATTGCTTGGATTGTAAAAGACAAGATATAACTGTGGAGTTCTCTGCATCTAATTTAGCAAAGAGCAAATTTGTACTTTTCGCCCATATATGTACTCATCTTCCCTGGCTCTTAGTGAGCAATAGTTTGGAATGTGATTTGACAAGAAAATTAGTACCATCAAGATTAGCGGTTTTAGAGCTGCATGAACTTAGATTAATATAGATGTATTACTGACACCAAGAAGTCTTGAAATCCAACAAATGTACAACAAACTTATTGATGACCAACAACCACAAAACAAATACTAGAGTGTAGAGAAACAAAACTTAGATATCAGCAACCATAACAAACCCAGAAGGTTTTTTTTTGGTCAGGAACCCAGAAGGTTGAAAAAACCAAAATAGTGACAAAAACCTGACAGCTGAATTACTGAAGGTCATATTTCTTCACGAAAACTGCCCTTGAATGGCCATTACTTCTTCCAGCATGGCCGTGTGTTTAAGAAAGGATCAAGTGCAACTAAAACCTTGGGAAAACTCCAAATCTTGATATCCAAAAAATTGCAGTTTGTTTCCAAAAAGCATACTAAAAATTGAAAACCCGAATAGATGATCTCAACAAATTCTGAAAATTACCCCAATGGATTCCCCATGAAAAATCAACCATCCTCATGTATTTATCTAACGTTAGCATGGACGATGACGTGCCTGCAGCCCCTTTTGTATCCTTTTCTCTAACCCAATGTCTTCTGCTTTGATTTCGATAAAGTTTGTACTCTGATTTATGGTTTGATGCTATGTTAAGCCACCAACTCATTTGAAAGTTTAAGCTGTTAAAGAGTGTTCCATAGTGTTTTACATTTCGACACAACCCTGACATGTGGGTTATATTACACAAGTAAGTTTTAATTTTTAGTGTGACAATGAGATTCAAATGCCGGTTAGTGATAAGGAGAAGAGAAGGAAAGGAGAAAATTTTAAGAAAAGAGTGGATGTTATTAATCTCATACCTAGACAACTCTTTGTTTGTACCGTTGAATATTAGAAGACTTACAAGAGTGCCCACAATTAAATTTACACGCTTTCTGTCAGAATATCTGGGTGCTGTTCATGAATTTTTGAGCTGTTTATATCAGTTACTAAATGCACGTTGAACAAAATGATATATTTTAATCAGTTCACTTGTCATTTTTACTCACTGCTTGCGGTTAAATAAGTTTGATCTCGTATTGGATGCTTATCCAGCTTAGAGAAGATTGTGGCTGCGCTAAGAGCAGGGGCCGAATATGCAGAGGTACCTGTCAATAATTGTGTGCTTATTGCCGGAAGCAAATTGGGAGTTGCTGGAGCTGAGCGAATAGGCATGCCATGTGTTGTTCTTCGGAGCAGGTAAAGGCTTGTTGACTAATGCTTACCCAATCCAAATTTACTCAAAAAGAAATACTTAAACATGTCTGGCTTGAGACATGGTACCATGAGTGGAGTGGTGCTTCTAATATGGACATGACCCCTCTTAGCATGTGTAACTACTACTTACGTAGCAAGATGATCAGGAACTTCGTAGATAGATACTAGAATCTCTCTCTCTCTCTCTTGTGCACTGCCAATGACCGAATTGCTTATGCTGCAATATTGTTAAAGGAAATATGGAGGATGAGTTCTAGCCTCTTGTTGATTAATGTTAGGTTACAATGAAGGGGGAGTTAGCTTTATTAGTGAAGTTCTTTGCACTTAATGCTTACAGTCCAAAAGAAGTGTAATTGCTAATTTAGGTAGTGATGTTAAGTGGATAGTCAGAATTGGTGAAACATAGCAATTAAAATAATCAAAATATCAAGGATTCAACAACATAGGTTTTGTTTTCAATAACATAGTGACCGATGAGTAAAGATATGAAATAAATACGAGTACGCATTCTCACGTTCTGTTTTTAAAGGATGTTATTATGCACAATCTTATACATGTTTTTTTGTAGTTTAAAATTTGAAAATATCATGTTTATAGTGGTATTATTAATATTTGGTCCTCACAACCATAATTGTTAAATCGCGATTAGTATCGTGAATCAGAATCCTAAATTTGAGAATCGTGAATTGTATCGAATTGTGAATCGTAAGATTTGACACAAAATTTGAACAAAAATAAAAAATAATACTACATATTTAAAATGGACAAAATATTGAATATTGAACATTATTACATTCTAAAAATAATCAATTGACATAATTACATCGTCTAAATGGAAAGATGCTAGTTTTTTGTTTCTTTTTCATCTTTTACTTAACTATTTTCAAATTTAATAACTTGAAAAAAAATTCAGTAAAGAACCATGGTTATTTAAGAATCAAAATAGTGACACCCATTATAGAATATAGATTATGTGAAACATGAATGAAAAAAGAACAAATAAAAAAATTGATTGGGAGAAAACATACTAGCAAACATATTGAAACAAAATATTAGAACCTAACAAACTACTCATGAAAGAATTGAGAGCAAAAATCAACCGATGATTTGAGAGCGCTAGCTGTGACCTTTACCTTTAGACAACGCAAGGCGAGTTTTAGACGACATCAAAGAGAGATAACGAGTAAAGAGGTTGAGTTTTTTTAGGGCGTGGGTTCCTCTGTAAACAAAACGACGTCGTTTTGTTATTTAGCGGACAAAACGACATCGTTTTGCCAAAAATTTAGGTTTTAAAAAAAAATGATTAAATCATGCGATTTGTGAGATACGAATCGAATCATACGAATCGTATGATTCAGGCGCGATTCAACTCAAACAATTGTCGTATAACATACGAATCGTTTTGTATCTGTATCAAATCGAATCATGCGAATCGAATCGTGAATCGTACAATTTTGATAACTATGCTCACAACCAATAATTATGAAAGGACCAAGTACATTCCAGTACAGTACAGTGTACACTACTATATATACTATATCAGTGAGCTAGCAGGGTTTTGTTCTATATTATTTTTTATACTCATTGGTAATTTTTTAGTTCATGGTTAGGCCAAGTTTGGCTTCAGGTTAGGCCAAATTAATAGGGTTTTATCTATTGCATAGTCTTGAAGTTGAAGGTGAATATTCGATCGGCTAGTTGAAGCATTAGAATTGTTTTCAATACAGTTCAGCCGCTTGTTCATGTGAGAGGTTTTTACTTACCCTTCTTCTATTTGATCCTTCTGATACAACTCTAATTTGATGCTAAAGAAACAAAACTTCACCTTGAAACATCAGAGCAATGCTTGCTAACTTTAATTATTTCTACCAATTTCTGTTCACTGCTCCAGTGCACTGCCCCTGAAATCATCGTTACAGGGTTGAATTTTGAAGGTCGTACATCACATTGCAGAAAGCTCTCCCTCTAGAGATGGCATTTGGTTGGAAAGTCTTATTAGTAGATGCATCTCTGTGTGTGTGTGTGTGTGTGTGTGTGTGTGTGTGTTTATTAGAATACTATTATGAGGAGTTGATGGCTTATAAAGCAGTCGGTTTGTAAACAACTTTGATTTCATTTGCTTGGATGTGATCACTGTTTTATGTATACTATAACTGAGATGAAACAATAACCAGTAGCACAACTAAACAAACAAGACTCCTGGAAGACTCTGAAATTTTTTGGTATGTGTTAAGAAATAACTAATGATTTTGGTCACCGTAGACGTTGTTGAGAGAATCAAATTTAAGTGGTAGGAGCATTATTGTACTTATGCTGACTTGTGGTACAATAGTTGGGTCTTGGTTGGTCAAAGGGTCAATTCTCTCACCCATTTGAATTTCCTATTTTGTTTATTTGTGTGTTTCACTTAAGTTTGTTAGTCCATGTGACATGGAAAGAGAAGAATTATCCATGTTTCATTTATACAGTTAAGAGGCCTATTCACCGATTACAAATTGTTTTGCCGTTGACATGGTATCAGAACCATGTGACCCTAACCCTAATCCCTTTTTTTTCTCTTTTTCTCCTTTATTTTCCCCCCTTATTTTTCTCTCTTTATTTGCTCAGACTGACTTTATAACCAAGCCAAGGTTGAACTAGAGAAAATAAGTAGTTGTCACTGTGCAATTTACTGACTTGTACATACAGACCCCATGGACTGTACAGAAAGTGCATACAATGGACGGACGAGGTGTGTCCCACATAGTTGTTCGTCTCTCTTAGTTGTAAAAAATAAAGATTTTATGGGGCAATTGAAATTCTGTTGTTGTGGAATTGCAAGCAGCATTGACAATCAATGCAATCTACATCTTTGTTTCAAAGACATCAAAATAACAAATCGTTTATCTTTGCTTTTGCTGGAGGCTCTCCAACTGTCATGACTTGAGTTTTATGTTATATGTGACTGACTTGTGGTAAGGAAATTGCCATCTTTGTGTTGGTAAATTGTTTCTAAACCTGAGTTATAAAGACCTTAACTAGTTTAACACACTCAGACTAAACCCGGCATATCAATGCTATACAGCTTAGTCATGTCTTTGTGGTGAAGGGGCTCTATTCTTCCTTTTTGGGTCACATATCATCCTTTATCTGCCCCTATACTCCTGTGTGTAGATGACAGGAGGTAGTGGATGTCATCCATAACAAAGATTTTGAAACAGGAAGTGGATTATCAATAATCAGCCAAAAGCACATCACCATTACTTGTGCTGTTTTGCCTCTGCTTAATCTGTTTGTTAGCTGTTTATTCTCTAGAGAATCCCTTGCTAAACCGTATTCTAAATTGTCTTTCTCAGGAGTTGCACAGTTCTTTTGGGAATTGTTGATTTTAGCATCATTTTTCAGTGCTGTTATTTCTTTTCTCATATTATACACTGCAACTCCTAAAACATAATGTCATTCTGCTGCTTATTCTTTTACTGTGATCTTATAGTTTGACATCTAGGGCTGAGTTCCCTTCAGCAAACGCCATAATGGACGGCTTCGGTGGTGCAGATCTAACAATCTCTAGGCTCCGAAACAAGCTATGTTCGTAGCTTCCATTCAAGTGCTTACTTTTTTGAGCCTTTTCTCTGAGTGCTTGATTATGTTTTCTCCCCTTATTTTATAGGGTATAGTCAAGCCTCAGAAAAACAAGTGTTACAGTTATAATAGACAGTTATCAATTCTATTGTTGGGTATACCCGTTTTGGACATTTGCTTGGGTGTTGTTTGTGTTACTTTGTATGTTCTTTACACTTGAAAAACATTGTTGAGGATACTGCTGTGCACACTTTCAATTATTGTTCAAATAAGAGTGTTCTATAATGTTTTTGACAGTCCTGGAAAAGACAATTCTATATTGTTGTGCTTTCCATAAATGGTACTAAGTCGATTCTTAATCAACTGTTTCTTATTAAAAAAAATCGAAGAAATTGCAGGAAACAAAATCCTTTTATACTTCAGATGTTCACTCTATGTGCTTTCACTTGGCAAGATTTTTTTTTTAAGCATAGATAACCAATGTTCATTTTGTGTTTTATTGAATGTTGTTGTTAGACACAAAAGTCTCTCTTAGCAAACACAAAAGACATTAAAGTATAGAAAGTGTATCACTATTACTTTCTATCCTTCTGTTTTTTCAGCCATCTGGAGCGTTAAAGTTGTGATGGGTTTCTCATTTAGTGGATATTCGTTGTTTTTGACAATGGTCTGATTGCTGTGGGTCTCTTAGGTATATTGCTATAATCTTAGTTTTAGATGGTGTTCAATCTAACTAATACTGCTCTTTGGTTCGCTTCCTCGTTTTATATCTTTTAGCAATTTATCTAAGAAAGATAAACTTTATTCACATCCTCCACGGAGACTTCTTGTGAGATTACAAAAATAGCACGGCAACACCCCCACCAAGCACCCAACCATAGGCCGGCACCCATCAACATAAATTTGGAACTTTCAAACTCCGACAGATCTGGAAAAATATAACTTCGACAAATTTGAGCGGATTTGAAAAACCAAACTCAGGTAGAGCTGAAAAAATTAAACTACGACAAATTTAAAATTATGGATTTATCTCTCTTCAACTTTGTTAGTTGTTGGGTGTAGTGGACGTTGGTGTTACCGTGTTCGTTTGGAGGTCGGGTTTCATTTTAACGGTGACTGTTGTGTTGCGTGTGTTGTGTGTGTGATTGAGGAAATGGAAATGGAGCTAGTGGGGTTGCGGCCAGTGGTGGTGTTGTGTGGTAGTGAAGGTGAACATGGAGGTGGAGGCGGGGTTGCTAGGCAGTGGTGGTATGCTGTGTATCTGTATGAGAGAGAGAGAGAGAGAGAGGAGGTGGTGGTGGTTTTTGAAGAAGTGAGTATGTGGTGGTGGAGGCGACAATGGGTGGTGAATTGTGATGTCGTAAATAGTGGATTTTGGAGAAAATTTGGATTTTTTTTGTCAGAAGACAAATAAACACACACACACACACACACAATCCATAATTTATTGATGAATGAAATTTACATCAATAAATTATGTTTAAAAATACTGTTGTATGTTTGCCCAAATGAGTTCTTGAATTTTTGGCGTTAGAAAGTACCTTAGAATTGTTCCATGCTGAAGAGCTTGGATGAAAAATGTGACAGGTAAGATTAAGAGCATGCAGGACATTACACTCAGCAAGGAGTTTTGATTTTGGCTACCAAAAAGTGGTTAAGTTGATATATATATATATCAACTCACAAAAGAAAACATGATAAGATCTATTATTTTAATGATAAATAGCTACTTGATGTATGTCCAATTGTCATTTTTTTTTATGACATTGAAAAGTTTCCTTTCCGTATCATATATAAATTTGCACAAGAATTTAACAAATTTTCCCACCACAAAAGAAAAGCAGTAAGCAAGAAGGAAGTATTGAATTTATTAAAAAGTACTTTTGTGACCTTGGAAGCTCCCGTGGGACTTGAATGGACATAGATGACTTACGGCTTAAAAATGTAAGTCAACCCAAAGCATTGCACTGATAGTATCCGCTAATTTTCATGCATTCGATCCCAGGAATTCGGTGAGACTTGTGCTTCTAAAGATGTCTTTGGAGATGAACAAACCACCATTTGATTTCATGATTCACACTTAATAATTCTGCACTTTTTGTCCAATAAAAATATTACATGTGTAATTCTACTGGCATTTCTTTTTAAATATTGAAAGTTGCCCTAATGGTAATATGATTTTTTTATAGTCCTTTTCAGGGTGAACCCTCACACCCTGAGACATTCCCTCTTAGTATACCGACAATTTTGGCAAATTTGAAAAAGAGTTGAAAATATCGTGAAAAGAAAAAGTGACACATGTTCAGTTATTAAGGTCTGAAAGTCACGATGCCTTCATCGTCTTTATTTTTAGTTATTGGTTTGACTTTAAATATATAAACCATATTAACTCATACATGAAATAATAAATTTAATGCCCAAAATGATTCAAGTGGAAAGAATATTGCACTTGTGCATTATAAATGTCCCCATGATCTTTTTGATGGAAGAATAAATTTTTTTTCTTCATTTCTTTTGCTATTGTCAAAATGTAGAAGGACTTGGAACAAGAATATAACATTCTGATTGTAATGCTGACGAAATCCAAATTGGATACCATATAGAAGTCATTGGTGTTAAGATGACCTAAAATTAGAATTGTGGAATTGGGTTTCTAAATCTAGACATGAAGTTCGAAAATGTTACATATTTTTAATATATGAATATTATATTCATATAATGTATGTGTGCACTAACTAGTAACTACTAAAAAGACTAAAAAATATTCAATATAATAGTGATTAATCAAAGATAACGATTAGTGAAAACTAATCTTATCTCTTCAATACACATCGACGACACTAGCTCTTCATGGAAGAAACTCCCACACAAAGTCACGCACCTTTTGAAAAATTTGTCATATCTATTTATGTAGTTAGTACACATCCAATTTGTATTGTTAGTTTATAAATATTTGTAAATCAGTCAATAAAAAAATAACAAGTCAAAACATAGTGTCAGAGTCATTTTATGACCCTATTTTATTAACGTCATTTAGTATGACCAACCAATTATATGATACTATGTGAACTTAGTGGATGTTATTATTTTAATAGCTATTAATAACCAGCCCCATTTAACAATTAACGTGTTGGTATAATATGATTAACCAATCTTATTTGATGTTTTTATTATTGATTAGTAATATCAAATGACAAAGATGAGGTGATAATTGCTAAATAACCAACCACCCACTATACTGCAATGCAATCCTTGATCAAAATCAAAACTAAGTTCGAAATCGAAATGAAAGCAGAATGCTAATTTTGCCCTAGAGGTGATGGTGGCGGTTTTGGTTGGTGGCGATAGTGGCGTTTTATCAATTTTCTTGTCGAAATCAAAATTGATTGAAATAAATCTATGCTCTCTGCAACAAATTGCTTTTAGAAAATCTCAATTTAGGCTTTTGATTTTGTATTTGATTCGGATATGGATTGCCATCAAACCCGGAGAGAGATGACCATGGCACGTGAATTGAATTATATAATTTTCGGAATCAACTAGAAATTTTGGCACCAAATCTAATTGTAAAATCAAAATCAAAATCGAAATCCAAAGGACCAACTGACTCAAGTTATAGAATTGCAAAACCACCCAAAACTTTCTTCATCTGTAGTAAGTAATGTTGTTGGATTGGATCTGATTGTAGATGGTGGTCATGACTGGCTGTGGTTGGTGGTTGAAGAGATTAATTGCTTGTTTTCTGTAATGCATATGTGGAGAGGAGAATGACGAGGTTCAAACTTGGGACTTTAAGATTCACAATTCAACAATGAGGGCGATGACCTACCAACCGCTAGCCTTTTTCGCCAATTTATTCAAAGAGCATTATTTTGTGTTTTAGTATAATTTTTAAGGGTGTAAAAGTAAAGTGGCACATGTACTATTATTTCTAACAATTTGGGCGAAAATACTTATGGTAACGCTTTAAAGTGCTATGAAACCAAACCATAAGAACAACCTAAATTTAATCCGAAATTAAAATATGAAAATTTGTGGGTCTATGTAGCCATTGTATGGACATGACTCTGGTGACCCGTCTGCTTTTAATATAAAAAATAGTTTGGTAATTATGTATTGGACTGAATAAAATAATTGGGATAAAATTTTACTGAATTCTAATTAAGTTGAAAACTATGGAATGGGTTGGATGCTATCGGAAGACCACCACAAAACGGCAATATTGGAGCTAAACATGGAAGCGCTGAGCCGAAAATAATCAATCAAACATGAGCAGAAACATGCATATTAGTCGTGCTTATTCCCATTGCCACTTTTGCAGATGAACAGTCGTTACATTTCTACATACTACATATGTAAATGTAGTACAAATGTGACAAGTCCATGACACTTTGATTAAAATTTGTATACGATAATAATATTATATATTAGAAAAAAGAAGAAAATATAAGATTTTACAGAGAGTAGCTGTTACTTCTGCTTTGCATGTGATATTTACAAAGATTATCTGTTTCTTCCCCTAGACTATAGACAACAAAGGTGAACAAACGCTCAAGAGTTTCCATACAACTCTCGTATACACACTATGTATGTGAATGTGAATCGTACATCAAGAAAATTCAGCCTGTTCTACATTTGTAACTCTCCTGTGTGTTGGCTGAGAACTCGAGCATTCAAGGCCACTTTCAGTTGAATTATTGGATGAAACAGATGAATCTGGAACTGAGCCTGATACTGAATTTGGCTGTAGTGTTTGATTTCTAAAACTCCAAGAATCCAGATATGGAGTGGGTCTTGGTTCCTCCGGAGTTCGATGCCCTCGAGCTTCTTCAGCTAGTCGTTTCAGAAGGTTCGTGACAGTTGGAAGAAACCTTGATGAGAGAGAAAGAAGTCCAGCCAGCTGAAAACACAGTAAGATTAGACACAGATTTTGGCACTGACCACGAGGACATTCATTTGCGAAAGCTGCAACAGACAACAGTTGGAAACTAAAAACCTTTACAAAAAACTGCTGTCTGGCCTAGCTATATTAGTTAACATTATATGCAAATCCAATTCTAGACACTCATTGTAGCATTTAGTGCGCAGAAAGTGCAACAATGTTATGTTTATAGTAAAGCATAGAAACCGGTACCATTACATAATCATAGACAACAATACCATTAGTAAAGAACATAGGAGAACAGAAGCAGCAGTAGTTTTACTCACCATGCCATTCCGAAACTCCCCTGGGACGTCCATCTGTACCCATAATGCTTTCCCAAGTAGAAATATAACAAATAAAACCAAGAGGTAAAGAGGATTCCTGTTTTAGGATAACAAATATGTAGAGCACATGCTAAGCAAAATTAAAAGGGCGAGGAAAAAGAAAAAGGGAAAGCGGGGGACAAGAAACATATGTAGTCAAATTGATGAGACTGTCAATGTTCAACTCAAGAACATAAGCTATTCCTCTTGAATTAGACATATGTACCTCAAAAGGAGCATGAATTCGTTAAACCCGAGAACAACCATAGCCAGTATTGCCCATGGAGGAGGTAACCAATTGTTGTCCCGCTTGTAAGCCTCCTGACAAAAACAAAAGTTCCATACATTAAATGGCAGATAATTGGAGATATCTGCATGAATAGGATCATGCTTGAACTTTTAAGATTAATAAATCCAGGGACAAGCAGAGAAGCATGCCACATGCTAAATATTCGAAGAAATACATCTTAACAAGCATACAGCAGTACAACAACCATATGAAAATCGAGTCTGCTAAAATTCTTTCCCCACTTAGATGAAAAAAATTAAGTACGTCGTAAATACAACTTGATGGGGGTGAATATACAGAACAAATAAAAAGCAGGGCAAAGAGCCAAACACTGAGAAAGATGCATGGAAAGAATTCAAGCTGATGTTATTGGCACTGCAAAAATGGTAAAAAAAAATAAATAAATAAAAACCCCTACAGGTGATCCAAAAAGACAACTTTATATCATAGCGTGCAAGAAGAAATGGGACGGCTTGGTGCTATTTTTGGCATGTCCATAACATCAGGTCTGGGATTATTACATTGTAAAAAGCATCCCAGTAGTATTCAAGGAACAAGCTGAATTGGCTTTCTTAAAAATGCTGACAGCCCATTTGTTAGTATCAAAACTAAAGTGCTTGTTAGTCTAGCTTGTGCACACCACCATTCTTTTTCAAAAGGTTCCACTTTTTCTAAACAAAGTATTATGATCAAGAGACAATGTACCTGTGCCGAAATGGCTTGAGTGACAGCATACTCAGTTTCTGCCTTAAATTGTCTCCACAACGACTTGCACTGCACAGGCGTAATCAACGTTTTCTCCAGAGGGACCTATTTTTTGCTCACATTGTAAAATAAAAATCAATTTGATTCCTAAAAAATACAAGCTAAAAAACAGTACATATTCATTTATACCTCCTCCCATGTGCTTGAGGCAAGGGGATCCCCAGAAGCTGCAACACTCCGGGACTGGGAAGGAGTAGTAACTGTTCCATCCATGAGCAAGGAGAAAAGTACATTCTCTATCTTATCTGGTCTCTCATCTAGGCGTATGGCAGCCATAACGGTCATATGCATCAGGGACTGCAACATAAAGACAGTAAAGATTACCAAATGATGCATCAACCGGAAACATTTATTTCCATCATGATAGATCTTTGTCTATTACCGCAGAGCGGGCACCCCTTGTGATCATTCTAATGTCTTCCTTCCCTGTCCAAACCCTTGGCAGTGAGTCATTATCATGGTTGAAGACAGTTGCAAACCTACAAAAGTTCCCAACTCTTAAGCAACAAAAGGTAAAGAGAATAAATTACACCATTGAACTCGCTATCTATTTAAAAAAAAAAAAAAGCACCTATCCTTCATGCGGATCAGAACTTTCCCAGCTTCCTCTCTTGCTGTTTTCTCCACTATATCTCTTGCATAGTCCCTCAAATTTTGCACTATTTTGTCCAATGTTCCTGGCTCTAACTCGAAACCAGCAACAGCACTACAAAAACCCGATACGGTAGTGCCACTTTCATGTTTTAGTAGCTTTCTTATCGAAGCCCATGTGTCTTTCCCACTGGCTTCAAAAAGGGATTCTACTGGTCCAGTCAGAGCTACACTAAGTCGCTTCTGCAAGTAAAAACAGTATCAAGTGATCTGCCAATAAAACCCAGGGGTGGCTCAAAACATTTGAGGTCTAAAGTAATGATGGTCAATGATACTTTTATATTTTTTTAATAATAATTTAATTTTTCAATTTAAAATCTATTATTTTTACTTTTTGATGAGATTCGAAATTGCAATTTTTTTTATTTAAATTTTGCTAATATAATTTTTTAATTTATAATATGACTTTTGATCATAAATATTTATAGGAATAAAATTAATTTCTTCATTAATATTTTTATGTTCTTTTTATTTGTTTTATATGTTCTTTATCGAACTGTGAAATTATCTGATTGACTTTATTATAAATAAATTCATTGTTATCTTTTTTTGCATTATTTTACTATCTTTGAATTTTATTTATTTATCCATGCAACTTTCACCTAAAATTTTGTTATATTTTATTGTTACGAATAAAAACTTTATCAAAACTTTTTTTGAATGAGAATGAATGGTTTAATTAGTGTTTTGTGTTCAAATGAGGAAAAAAAAAACAAGTTTAAGAGAAGTAAAGATTGTGCTTGGTTTGATTTTTTTTTTTTTTTTATGATTAAAAAGAGATGCTTATTACACTTCTTTCGATTGAAAAATATAGATTTTGTCAGTATTTTTTTTTATTAATCTTTTTTGTCCTAAATAAATGTGATTGTGTGAGGAGGTCTGAACTTTTGGGCACAAATTTTTAATTTTTTTGTTGGTTTACTCTTTCAAAAATTAATTTTTTTTAGACAATATTGAAGTAAATTTTATTTTTTAACTCATATTATATTATTGATCTTTAAATTTGAGGTCTTTTTCGTATGTGAGACCTAAAACCCCCCGCTTTTATTTTTATACTATAGGGCTGGCCCTGATAAAACCTTACATTCTTATTTACAAAAACAAAGAAAAATGGATAAAAAAAACCCTATTTTGAAAAGAACACCAATGACTTGTTTGATCAGGCAAAATGAGTTACCTCAAAGGTAGCTATCAGTTCTGACAACATTGCACTACGAACAGAAGATGCATGGGCCTCAATATCACGACGAAGTTTTTCACGAACTTTTGAAGAATCCCAATCAGCTTGCTGTATGGCAGCATCTGAAATTGTGAAGAATGAGGCCATTGACTGAGGCTCCACATACATACAAACATTTAAAATATTGACTAGCACAAAGTGTACACTTATTTTTAAATTCAAAGAAACTGTTGCTCAAAAAGTTCAAAGCTAAACTCGGAAATTTTAGATGGATCGAAACTTGTTCTGTAAAACTTTACAGTCAAGAAAATGAAAAAAGGACTTGACGTTTTCCCGAAAGTGAAAGGCTTAAGCATGACAAAATAATGCAGATGACATAATAGGCAACACCCTTCCAAGAGATTTAATGTGGACATAGGCCCCTAGATTAAACAAACAATTAATGGTCCACAATCCACATGAAGCAGATCATTTGATGAAATTGTTGTTGAATAAATTTAACAGCAACAAAAATATTCGTAGCATATATACTCTAAAACAATTCAGTAGATTCAGGAAAATTTTACAAAATGGAAACCGTTAGGTAGAAATAAATAATTAAAAATACGAAGGAAAATAAAAATTATGCAGACAGTGCCAACAATGTTGCAATGCTATTGACCACTTGCTTATGCTCTAAGTAACCTATTTATAGCCTTCTCAATAGTACTTAGACTTTGTGGCCGAGCATCAAGCAGTGACTAAAAACCAAGGTGAAGAGCCTAGTCAAGGCATCCTTATTAAAGAGAACACTGGGAAATCAAAGGCGAACTGATGGCAATCTCGCCCTCAAATGTGGATTCTAATGGAGTTTGCCATCAATGGATCAACCTCAATTGACGAGTTAAACGAACCCTTGACGACTCCATTAGACTCCATCAAGGTGTTATTATCTCATGTAATTGCACCTGCCTTTTTCTTTTCTGCGACAGAGGAAATGTATCTCGAACCCATGGTAGGTACAATGTTCTACCATGTCAATATTCCAAACCAATGCCCTAGGCCACTCAGTCAAAAATAAGCATGCGGGAAGAATGAAGCATCTAATCAGATTAATCAAGAGATTACAACCAAACATCATTTTCATAGGTAGGATGGCACTGGAAAATGGGAGAAAGGGGGATCAATGGCTTTCATGAATGGGTGGAAAGCAGGGAGAGAGTTGTTCCATGCATTCTCTTCCTTACAAAGATAGGACAAGTTCGGGCAAGCGCAAAAGATTCAATTGAATGAATTAAGCTTTGGTTGTATTCAAAAAATTCCAATACTGTAGAAGGTTCCTATCTGTATGAAAGTGTGCAAACAAGCCATCTTGGCTCAGAATGACGGCATATTGTCAAATCAAGGTCATCTATAATGACCAACAAAAATGTAGTGTTTGCTCAAAAAGAGGGCAGATCATATAATCTAAGCTATCCCATTAGTAACCAACAAAAATCATGAATTTTAGAAACTTTCACAGGTGTAGATGTTGTGATAAAATATTGATCCTGAGAAAGCCACTAATAGATGGGTCACATACACATCAAAAGCCATTTGCTTCCTAGCCCAAATTATTAAGCATATACTGTGTACCATGTAGATATGAAATAGAAAACAGAAAAAAACAATTTGTGTGACAACAACATCTAAGTTATTCACTCAGATTCAGGCAAAAGCACATGTTCAAAGATACAATATGCATGTGTTTTAGTTTAGTTAAATTATCGAGTGATTAGAGTTTAGAAGGATAGAAGAGAAGAGAAGAGAAGAGAGGAGAAAGAGACGAAAAATTATAGGATGACAGTAGTGTGTTAGGTTACACAACTACACCCCAACTTATATATATAAGCACAAAGCACAAGAGTACCCTCAAGCTAAAAATAAAGTATAACTAACAATAACTAACACTCCCCCTCAAGTTGGTGCATAAATCTCTCATGTCCAACTTGCAAGCAATAGGATGAAAAATCTTGCTACTAAGTCCCTTGGTGAAACCATCAGCCAATTGGTTCTCCGATTTCACAAAAGGCATGCAAGTCAAGCCTTTGTTCAACTTTTCTTTGATAAAGTGTCGGTCAATCTCAACATGTTTGGTTAGATTATCTTGAACTAGATTATAAGCGACATTGATAGCAACCTTATTATCATAGTAAAGTCTCATAGATCTATCTTCATAAATTCCGAGCTCTCCCAGTAAGATTTTAAGTCACATAAGTTCACAATTCCATGAGTCATTGCTCTATATTCAGCCTCAACACTAGACCTGACTAACACTGCTTGTTTTTTACTTCGCCAAGTAACAAGGTTTCCTTTTATTAAGCTGCAATAGCCTGAAATAGATCGTCTGCCATCCACATAACCTGCCCAGTCTACATCAATAAATGTTTTTAACTTCAAGTGACCATGTTTGAGAACAAAATCCATTTTCCTAGAGCTAACTTAAGATACCACAAAATATGATAAATAGCTTCAAGATGAGGAGTTCGAGGATCATACATGAACTAAGTGACAACACCCATTGCATAAGCAATATCTGAATGAGTATGAGAGATATATCAATCTTCCCACGAGTGTTATTTAAGGCGTAAGCGAACCGAAGCGACCAAGGCTCCTAACGCCTAGGCGAAAAGTAAAGCGACACGCTTTACCAAAGCAAAGCGAACAGTTAAAAAAATAGAACAGGGGCACATTCACATGTACTAAACAACATTTCATAACAATTGTAAACAATTTCATATGTGCTGAATAAAAAAGGAGGTAGAACAGGGGCACATTCACATGTACTAAATAACATTTCATAACAATTGTAAACAATTTCATATTTCACATATATCGAATGCATTAAGTCTTGAGTTTTCATCTATTTGTATAATTCTTTTAAACGTTTAATTCCATCAATATCAATAAGAAAAAAAAAAAAGAATGTGTTTTGTTCGAAGCATTGCATATCAGGAAAAAAAAACAGACCAGCGATCATAAAAAAAAAAAAATCATCAGTGCTTAAAAAATAAAAGAGATTCCTAGTTAGAGCAGAATCAGAAAAAAAATAAAAAAGAAAAAAGAAAAAAGAGCAAAAATCGGTGAGGAAGGGGCAGCAGTGAGAAGAAAAAAAGAGAAATAGAAGAGAGGAGAAGAAGAAGAAGAGAAGAAGAAGAAGAAGAATAGAGGAGAAGAAGAAGAAGAAGAAGAAGAAGAAGAGAGGAGAAGAAGAAGAAAAAGAAGAACCTGTTCCCTGTGTCGGTGAGGAAACAGCAGCAGTGGTCGTGTAGCAGCGAAGACAGCGATCGTGTTCCCAGTGTCCAGCAATGGTCCAGCAGCTCCGGCGATGGTCCAGCTCCGGCGATGGTCGTGTAGCAGTGACAGCGATCGTGCAAAGCTCCAACGAAGGCAATCTGAAAAAAAAAAAAGGTTTGGGGTTGTATTTATGGGGTAAGGAAATAATTCGGTGTATCCATGTCTTAAAATTTTTTTTCCAATTGCCTAATCAACAACACATAATTAAAATAAAAAAAAATGCCTCAAACCGTTAAAACGCTCGCTTTTTCGCCAGTCGCTCAAGCGACAGGCGCTCGCTTTGTTCGCTTTTTTCTCACTTCGGCCACATTTGCTTCGCATGAGGTCCTCTAGACGAGCTACCTTCGCCTCGCCTCGCTTCTCGCCTAGGCGCGCTTTTCAAAACACTGCTTCCCACTAATCTCTGATACCTCTACTTCTCAACTACATCACCTACTCCACTACTCAATCGATGATTGGCTTCAATGGGAGAATCTATAAGTTTACATCCTAACGTGATTGTTTCTTCAAGGTCAATGATATACTTTCTCTGTGAGATAAAACAACCATTATCTTATCTAACAACCTCAATCCCAAGAAAGTATCTCAATGGACGGAAATCTTTGATTTTAAACTCCTTAGCTAACTGAGCTTTAAGTTTGGTAGTTGTCTGCACATCGTTCCCTGTTATTACTATGTCCTTCACATACACAATCAGAAAAATTATCTTATCATCAACCAGTCTAATGAACAAAATATGATCAACATGACGCTATTTATATCCAAATTTAAGCATGGTTTTGAGAAATCTATCAAACCAAACTTTGGGAGACTTTTAGTCCATAAAGAGACTTCTTAAACTTACATACCCTTCCTTCGGTTAATTGAGATGAAAAATCTAGTGGAATTTTCATGTACATCTCTTCTTCCAAATCTCTATGAAGAAAGGCATTCTATATGTTCAATTACTACAAACTCTAACCCAGATTAGTTGCACATCAAAGAAGAGCATGTATGGAGTTCATCTGTGCCACGGTGGAGAAAGTCTCCTGATAATCAATGCCATAGATCTAGGTAAAACCCTTAGTAACCAAGCTTACTTTGTACCTCTCGACTGTCCCATCGACTTGAGGTTTGACAGTGAATGTCCATTTGCACCCTACTGCCCTTGTTCCATCAGAAAGAGAAATTAGCTCCCATGTGTCATTCTTTCTCAAAGCTTTTATTTCTCCTACCATAACTTCTCTCCAATTAAGATCAATGAGAGCTTCTTTCCAACCCTGCGGAATAGATACTGAAGGCAAGGAGAAAATAAAAACACAATATGATGGGGATAAAGAATCATAAGATACAAAACGTAAGAAGGGGTGTTGAATACAAGTTTTAACACCTTTTCTGACTGTAATAGGAAGCTCAAAATCACCCCAAAAAAATAACATCTAAAGGTTCATTACCTAAAAAATAACTGGAAAGTGATTGAACTAGAGTTGGGGAATTCAATTCACTCGATGACACATGGGTAGTCTATCCTTGTACCTTGTGACACCGAGAATAAATCTTCAAGTTATCCTTGTTAAGGCGAGTACCAGATGGACTACTTGTATCACCTCCATTTTTTCAATAAGTTGTTGCCCCTCCTTACCAATATTCCACTGAACAGGCAACTGAAGAAAAGGTTCCTGACATACCATTTCTTCCCCAATGATAATATTCTCCCCAAAAGTGATAGCTGGAAACTAGGAAAAACTACCTCAATTTCACGAAAGGTAAATCGATTCTAACAAACACCTTTTGAGTCTAGGGATTATAGAATTTATATCACTGGAGAGGAGAGCGACCAATAAAAACACACCACAAGGCCTTGGGGTCGAGTT